CCCCGTTTCAGCTGCCATTGGGGCTGGCTAATGGGCTCATTCGGGAAGACCCCTGCCTGCCACACTAAAGAGTCCCCTGCCGACCCCCTCCTCAGTCCCAACCCAATTAATAAATGGGGGCTCCCACTTTATGGCTCTGGGAGCAGGAACCAGAGATACAAATGACCCCCAGGGAGGGACAGAAAAAGGCCTTCCAAGAATCAAGCCAGAGAATTGTGCATCCACAGGCACATGCTGCCACGGGCTAGTCATCTCCTGTTTTCAAAGCTTTAAAGGGGAAGAAACTGGCAAAAAATCATGTTTTCTTTCCCAGATCTGGAGTGGGGGGAGCATTCTTGAAGCCTCAGGGCATACCCCAGCAACTCTTCAGCTGCCCTCAAACCTGGAAGAGCAGAGTGCAGGTGAGTGTCTGGGGCACAGGTTGCACTATTTCCCAGACAGTGCCTCCTGCTGGCCTCTGCCATGCTGAGCCTTGACACCTGGTAAATGCTTCCTGCTTGTCAAAAACACAAAGCAGCACCCTCTTCCCTCCAGAGTCAACATCTCAGCTTGATCCCTCCTCTCACATGAACACCATCACCAAGTTTTGCTAGTTTCTAGGGGCCTACTGCCTTCCTTCTTTCATTCCCCTTATCTACTCTCGTCCCTTATCTGAGCGTCTCCCATCTGGCCCAGATCGCCTTAGAAAGCCTTCCTGCTTCCTTGACCCAGGACAGCTGTCCAAGTCCTCCACATCGCACTCATGCTCTGCTCCATTATTGCTGACCAAATCAAATTCAGATTCCTCATTCAGTCCAACAAGGTTGCTCCTCTGACTTCATTTCTTAGCAATCTTTCACTAGCCACCCTGGACACCCATTGCCCTCTGTACAAAACAAATGCAAAACTTCTTCCCTTCTTCTCTTTGGCCATCACCTTCCTCTCTTCTATGTCCCTGTCTTCATTACCTTCAAGGAATCTCCTCTGGCATGTTCCACTTTTCCTTATTGCTTTGCTTTAGTTCCCTAAGTACTAGGGTGCTGTTTTATTTTATAACCTACATAAACATGCTGGCAAATACTAATTCCCCCTTTCCCACCCAGGAATAATCTTCCCCTCAAACTAGTTCCAGAAACTTCCTGAAGGTGGGGGCCTCCCCTTTTCTCCCCCAAAAGTTGCCCTGTACTGGGGACATGACTCTGGCATTATTACCGCTCCCCAGTGAAGCTGCCTCATGGTATAATTCTTAGGATATCACAGCAAAGATCTATAAGGAATCAGTGTTATTACTTCCATTGCCCCTACTAACATTGACTTGGCACTGGGTCTTTCCAAAATACAAATTATTTCATGAATTCAAAGTTTTACAAAACCAACACAAACCCCCCCCAAACAAGACTGGTTAGCCAATGAATTTATCTCCTTCATTCATAGTAAAGAAACACGTTTTTTTGCAGGCTCTTTAGTATAAGCAGCCCCATTTCGTTCATTTCTAAGATTAATCCCATATTTTCAGGTCATGACCTGATTTACTAGAATAAAAATCAATCTCAGAGCCAACAGTGATCTTGTTGTCTACCAGTCCTGCCTCTAGCCTACCCAACTAGAGGGTCTCTTGGAATAGTTGTTCACATGTCTCTTTCAAGAATTCAGTACTTAAGAGTTTCTCCGTCAAAAGCTGACTCTTCACTTCCCTTAGACAGGAAAAAATTATCTCCGCTGTCCTTTGTCTCCTACCTACTGGTCAGGATAATAAGAGGGATTTGCTTTTAGTCTTTCCTCCCAGAGCAGCAGGTGCTTAAGAATTAAGATAATAAAAGCAACGTGCTTAGCACTGTTCCTGACACCATGCAGGTTCCAACTGTGTTCCTTCTCTTCTCTTGCCCTTCTCAATATTGCTTTTTGACCTTTCTGGCTGAAGGAGGTCCTGGTTTAGACAAGTTAATGTTCTTTTGCAGTTGCTTTTTCCGTAACTTTAATTTATATGAGCCGATTTGTTCGCTCTTCTAGAACTACCTTTGCTTGGATATAAAACAAAGGAGAAAGGTATAGTACAGCTTCCAAGTTGCAAGAGTTTTAAAACTCCAAAAATGCAAACTTTTTAACACGATACATAGCTATCACTCCCCCCTTCGTTCCTGGGTAGTTTTTTAAAACTGCGATGGCAGTGCTAAGCTGCCCCTCTTTAAAATCTATTTTCTCAAGTAAAATGTCTTCCCAGCATTCCTCAGATAAGGGTTCTAGGCCCATCCTCCAAGCAAAGGGTAATACTATTGTCATGAAGGGGAAATTTACAGTGGTATTCTATGGGACCTCCCTGAACTCAGTCATGAAACTTTTAATTATTTCTCAACTTTCACTAGCCCAGCCCTATTTCCTTCCCTATCTCTCCTTTATAAGCAACTAGACTAAGTATCTGCAGCCCAGCTATGAGACTACACAATTCTTCCTTCTCTCCACCTCTTCCTGTTGTTTCATTATGAGACTTTTAGTCCCCTAACAGAAATCGCAAATATTTGTAATATTTGTACCAAGTCAAACCCAGAAGTTCCCAAATTTATAAAAAGGTTGAGGCTCCTAAGTCTTTGAATTCAGTCTTTTTCCGGGGTCAAAAGCATTCAAGGTTGCATTAGCCTTGGTGGAGAAGGTTGTCACTCCACAAGCTGACCCTGATCAAGGGTGTCTCTCATTACACAGTGTTACAGTTCTCTGGATTCAGGAGGAAGAAGGCTCTCCTACCTGACAGAGTCCATGCCATTGGCTACTTAAGATAAAGACACACTCCAAGAAGCCGGCTTTGCTCTTCCCTTAGCAGACTGCGACACTGTAGTCTTTAAGTGCTTCCATAGTGGCTCCCACACCCCAGATTGGCTAGCTTAGACAAAAGAGCATTCATTCCTTTAGAACTATTAGAACTATCTTCATTTAACAACCAAGATACAACAAAACTCCAAAATATCAACTTCCAGGTCCCAGAGAACCTATCTATGTCTATGTGAATTTACTTCTTGGCATACCCTCTTATTCCAGGGGGCTGTATATTGATAATTCTTAGTAACTATCCACTCCAGGGAGCATTATAAATTGACCTCAAATTTACATGTTTCTCTCAATCTTGGACTAGTAACTTTTAAGATAGAGATATGTGAGCTATTCAGTGGCCAAAGCATTTTGGCACCCAAGAAATTAATCATCAGGGCATCAAAACAGCCCTCATCTGTGTTTGCATGGATAGCAGGTCCTTCTTCTCACCAAGCTTTACTTCCCACAGACGCCATCTGCAACTGAGCTCAGAAATGTCATCAGTAAAAAAATGTCTCAGGATATGAGGGAAGAAGATGGAGATGAAGGTTAACTGCTTGCCTTTCCTAGACGAGTAAAGGAAGCTCTAGTAGCCCACACACCATACAAAGCTCTCTTCATACTTCTTAGCAGTAGTACCATAGCTACTTCACTTTCTCCTTTATCTTCTATCCCATTAGTTGAGGACCTGGAATAGCTATTTGTCTTCCGAATTACCTTTCATTATGCTTCAAAACTATGAAGCACAATAACTTTCCCCTACAGGGCCAGCAATCAAGACCTCTGGTAGGCCTCAAGCACAAGTTGGATAGTGAGTGGGGAGAGAAAATTAGGATATGAGAAGTGGATGGAGAGACAGCTGCTTACGGTGAGGAGTGGAAGAGGACCATCAGCAATTCCAAGAGTCATTACTTCCCCCAGTCTGTCCTGATTTGAGTTTTTACTTTTCACTATTCCTTTATATGAGAAATGTCACACTTGGACAGTAAAATTGACCAGGGTCCAGGAATACTCATCTTGCCTCCTAGGAACTAAGGCGACTTAGCATTTCTGCCTCTCCCTTGGGATGGCCGAACACTCCCTCACTCGACAAATGCCCCACTTATATCCCTCTAGCTCTGCGGGATGACTAAATTGTTAACAGAGAAGTTACTCAGTACCTAAGGTTCAGCCAAGCTACAGGGCAATCTTTTATAATAGAAACGTCAGCACCAAAGACACTTAACTCCTTAAGGCATATAATTGAAGATATATGTCTAGGGGAAAAGTAGTGCTTAAGAAATTTAGGTACTGAACAGCCTGGGATGTAAAAGAGAAAGAAGTTCAGGTTAATTAGGCCCTGAACCCTTAGGCACTGCATTGAAAAGACAGTCACTGCAATTAAGTGGAAACAGCATTCTTTAGCAGGTTGAAGTTCACACTCCTAGCCATGAAATTGCCAAATATAAAGACTGAAGTAAATTCCTTTTCTCTGGAGGCTAATCAGAACACAGAATTCCAGAAATTGGAATGGTATTGCGCACTCCATTCTTTTAGGTAAAGATGCAACAGCCCACGGGAGCCCCAGACTTTGAAGATTTAAAAATCCAGACTAACAATCATTATCACATTTTAAAATAAAACTTCCTAATTTCCCTTCTTCTATGTGTCCCTTAATCTGACTGCTCACCCCACGCACAACTTCCTGAAACTTGTATGTACAAGTTTCCCTGTCTTCTACCTGTATGTATCCTCTCCCATTCTGTCTTCTGATGAGTTTTTGTTTGCTCTCTGCATATTTACATCACCAGCAATATCACAGCACACACTACAAGGGGATATTTAGTTTAGTACTCTGAACCATGAAAGAGAAAGGAAATTAACTTTACTTTCAGGTTGAGGTAGGGAAGACTTTGGAGCTGATAGAAGTGAGGGGCCTGAAGGCTCTATTCTTTGGTCTAAATAGTCTGTTAACAACTTGACAACAGCTGAGCTCATACCCACTTACCTCTCCTTTCAGGAGTAGTTGGGGTACATGAAGCTCAACTCTTTAAAAGCCTGGCACCATCATTATTTGTGTAACCGTTTTCTACTTAAAGAAAAAAAAAATCACATCTTACGGTTTTCCCCAACTCTTTTTATTCTCTAGTTCCTAGTCTAAGTTTAAGAACCTCTTCATACCCTGAGAACCCCCCTCCTTTTTTTTTTTTTTTTTTGGTCTACATACAGCAATTCTGAGACAAAGTACCCTAAGATAAAGTGGAGGAAAAAATGTCCTTTATACATAATTAGATCTACTTAGAAGGTACAGATTTAGAAGTAAATGCAATGGAGCAAAAGTGGTATAGTAACAGGAAATATTTAATTTTCCAATCTCCACTTTCCATTTTTATAAACTGAAAGAAAAAAATTTAATATATTACAAAATATCTGTACATAGACAAGATACACCCAATGGGGGGCAAAAAATGAGAGAGAGAAAGGAACACAGTGTCAGAACCTAAATCAGGGAGAATGAGGTGGCAACTGACACTTTTGATGCAGCATTCTCTCTCGAAACCGGCTGGTAACCATTTTAGTACTGTAACTATATATGCATATTATATATGTATATATATATATACCTCATATATATATATACACACACACACACACACAAGTGCTTGGGTGATGTCTATGGCATAAGCTAACAGAAGTCCTACTTACAAATTTGTGCTAACTGCCCTGCTTTCAAACATAGATTTGATATCATCTTCACATCCTTATCATTTTTAGGGCCAGTTGAAAAAAGAACTAAGGAAACTGGGTCAAGCAAACTTGTTGGGAAAAACACAAAAATGGTCATTGTCAAACCAGTTTTACCTCTCATTCATGAACAGTTTTCTCATCTGTTCAAAATTATGTATTTAATAGTATTAATATCTCCTATGGTACAAGAATTAAAACCAAACAAAACCAAAACCACTTTTGAATATATTTGGGCTTGTAACTTTCTAACAGTTAAGTTGAAATTCTGCCAAACCTTTACTTCCATCACGTTCATAGATAACACAGCTGAAAAATTAACAAATACCTTTTCTTCCTCCACAAAGATTCCAGGATATTTAAGTGAGTTTCTTGTTTCCTCTGCTTTAGAAAGTCAAAATTACCAAACTTTTTTTTTTTTTTTTCATTTTAAAGGTTAGAGTCCCAAAATGGGGGGTAGGAATGAGATGGGATCACACATACACATACACACATACACTCAACCCTCTTCCCTAGTAGGGATGGGGGAATAGAGACTTAAGCATGTTAGAGTATTTGGCATAATTAAAAATAAGGGGTAGGAAGGAAAAAACATTATTGATGATTGTTGATAGCCAAAATACAATTAAAATATATATAGAATTTTATTCATATTTAATGGGAAACCAATTTTTTTCACTGGATACTTTTAAAAGTATCCCAGGCTTAAATTCTTTAATCAAAAACGGGTGAATGGGGCCCAACACCTCAAATTCAAATGTTCTAAAATACAAAGGCCATGTCTGAGGACTAAGAAGTCAACAGACAAAAGGTTCAGATAAACTTTAATGAAATGTACCAACTATTGAATCAGTGAGTCTAACAAATATAATTGGACACACTGGTATAAAAAGCCATCAATGCCAAAATGGCTAGAAGTTTCTCTTTCTAATCAGTGTTTGACCTTAAGGGCAAGGTCAGATCAAAAACCAGAAAATAAAGAAATACACACACCGATGTCTACCTATTTCAGTAATAGGGGAAATAGTCTTCATGTAAGTATCAGAAGAGGGTTCTTCTTTCATTTTTTTAAAGTTTTTTTTTATTAGTGCACCTTTCTCTTACAATAGTTTTTATTTTTTAATATAAGAACTTGGCATTGAAACACGAAACTTCACTTGAATTCTGAAAATTATTCTCCAAAATGCTGAAGCATGCTTGCCTTTTTTTTTTTGTAAAAGGGGGCTAAACCTACATTTCACAAAGATCTAAGTTTGTGAAGATAATTTATATGAATGTGTATTTTTTAAAACACTCTACCTATATGCTGGTACTCACACAGAAATGGAAGCCAGATGAGAAACCTCCCCAAGTTATACCTCCCAGAAAGCCTTTCCCTTTTCCATTTCCTGTTCATCATAAGGCAAGGTTCTTGCCATGAAATCATAAGTTAACCCCTTTTACCAAAACCAAAACTCTCTGGAGGAAAATCCCTAAAAGAGTTGGCAGGAGATACATGCTGAGATGTGTATATGTCAATACTGTACTTATTGTTTTAAAATTATTTTTTAAAAAAGGTCTCAGGTATTGATATATCTTCAGAAAAATATCCACCCTAAACTAAGTCACATTTCCATGTATTTTCAAGATGTTATTTTTCTCTTTGACAATATTACAATGCTCTGTTTCAAAGTTTTGACATAAAAATATATGTGTAAACAATATGCTAACCACTCTTACTAGCCCTCTAGGTATGGAGGCATCATCTCTAACCCCAGCTCAGCAACAATGTCCTACGTTGTCTGCATTTATAAATTAACTTCACCATGAGAACATGGTTTTAAAAAAACCAAAAATCATTTTAGAATTGAAGAGTTACAGAGAATACTATAACAGTCTGATCCTTTCCTTTATTTCAAAAAAGTAAGGAATTATCCCAGGTTCTTGGGCATCTCGAAGAATAATTTTTTCCCAAATAAATGCCTCAGAGAGCAAGATAGGGAAGTGAGGGAGGGAAAAAGGGAAGGAAAGGTGAGAAAGGGAAGAAGGGGAGAGGGAAACAGAGAGAGAAACTATAGAAATGAGGTTAAAAATGGGAAGCGCTAAGGTTAACCTACCTACTTGCCCAGGAATGTCACTTTCTATAACCTGCTTCATGCGCAGGAAGACAGGGCATGTCTTTTGTAAAAGTGGAACAAACTCTGAGAATAAGTAATTTATTTGGAAAAAAGGTATATTCAAGATGCTCAATGTGGGTTAAAAACAAAAGCAAAAACAAGAGTTCACTTGAAAGCAAAGATGTAAAGATGGTGGAGAGAAAGGAAACATTTATTTAAATCAGCCAGGTCACTGTTTCCCTTATAGCAAAGGCCTAAGATCAGCTCAAATTTTGTGAACACTATTTTCTTTAAAGAAAATAAAATAAAAGAAACCATAAAAAACTTTTAAAACTTAAAGAGAGCCTCTCCTGAGCCATCTCAAAACTGAAACTCTTCTTTTTCTTCTGCTCATGAAGTGCAGGCAATGAACTAACAAAATATTTACTTTTCAATTTAATGACCCTCTCCATATTCTCTACTTGTATCTACTTGGTAGAGTTGAAGTAAATGTTCTGGCTATAGCCCATCTGGGGGAACTGGTGCCAACATCATTATAAGTCACCTGCTAGTAGCAAGTGAGCAAGGAATACAATGGACAGCTTTGTAGTAGCCAAATGCAGATGATTACCTCACTCTCATAAATGATTTCATTAAAGGTTCAGACTGGATGGAAAGGATGGATAGGGAAGGAAACTGAAATCAGTCTCTGGGTTAGTAAGGAACTCCTCTCCCTCTTCCCCCTCTTGGTGGGACTCTTGTAGGTCCCCGATAGAGTTTTCCAAAAGCAGAAGATTGAGCTGGGGCCCCCCAATTAAGGCCTGCTCCTGAGGTGCTGGACCCAGTGGTTCCTGGCCCCAGTTCCCCATAGTTTTGCAATTTGTTCTCTGTATGTACCACTGAATTGCTGCTTCCCTCAGCCTTCAGGAATGGCTGCCCAACCACTGAGTGTAATGCTAAGGGAACCCTGGCAAAACGGAGATCCTGGTCCCCTGGGAACTGCACTGACCCTGTGCCCTGGTAACTGCTGGACTCCCCAAGGTGGCTCACAGAGCCTGAGATGGTCCTGTTCTTCACCAGGGTCTGAGCCAAGGATTCTGTCAAGGCTGGACCAGAGTTTCGTTCATCAGTGTCAGTGGCACTGAACCCTGTTTCAGGCCCATCAGTGTTTCCGTAAGTCCTGTTGGGATGGGGTCGGGTGGAGTATTCCATTGGTCTCAAGGCCTGGTGCTCATGTGGCAGGTGGCCAGGAGGCTCTGCTTCAGGCTGGGATAAAAGTTGCAGCAAGGCGGCTGTCACGGCTGGGTTCAACTCCTGGGGGGCGCTGGAAAGATCGCCTTCAATCAGAGGGGGTGGAGGTGGCGGCGGTGGAGGTCCAGGGGGTTCAGGGGGCCTCTTCTCTGGTGGAAGAATGTGAGGAGGACATGCTGTGGAAGGGTTACTTCTTTTAAACACCATCTTAAAAATCACATGTGATTATAAACACAAACACACACACACACACACACACTGCCCAACATAAACAAATATCAATACAAATAACCATACTATTAGATATATATAAAGAATAAAATCTTGGGATCAGGAAATTGCAATTTATAAATAAAAGCAAGTGATTAAAGTGAAACAATTGCATTCTAGATCTAACAGCTGGTGTAAAATGATCATATGTTTCAAATAATTGTCTTGATTTTGTCTGAGATTTTTCCTTCCTTAAAGAACTATTCTAAAATATAGGCTGTTGGCAATTTCCCCACCCCTTTTTGCTGTTGGATCAAAACATTAATGAAAACATTAATGAAAATAAAGTGAAAGGAAGGAAGATGAGAGGAAACAATATACATGCTGTGGTCACATTTCTAGAACATAATCTTGCTGTACAATAGGAAACCTTCCATGAGCTAACACATTTTACAGAATGTTTGATGATATAAGGTTAACACCTGAAATAGAACTTAAAAGAATATACAGGAGAGATGAAATAAAGTAAAAACCTTTCATTACCATCATACATATATATACATTTTGGTTCTCCGAACTTCAGTCCTCTCCCCATAATCACATCCTGAAGAAAGGGGTATTCACCGCCATATTGTCATTTACTTTCTATAGGAATTAACTGTAGACTAAAGCAATCTTGTGTCTGTCATAATTTTCTACTTTCTCCCCCCAATCTCCTGTATTTTCTCCACTCTGAAAAAAAAAATCACTATAGCAGTGTCATGCAGAATGGGCTGCTGACAAACATGTTCTTCTCAGAGACAGTGACAAGAAGTTGGTACGTGTAAATATACTGAACTAATACTACACTGTCCTTCCAAAGATCTTGTCTTTTTTTGAACCACTCCTCAGACCTATCTTCTCCAACTACTAGTCAACTTTGCTTTAAGCATGGCAATTCACTGTCTGATAATGAACTCCTGGTAAGGTAGGAGAATAAAGATGTAAAATGGCACAAGTTTGAGGATATCATTCCACTGAAGAAAGGCTGAATGTTTGGGGGATATCTTAAAAATGACTGATCTTTCTGTTCCCTATGGAAACATATTTTTAAATGCCCAGTTATTTTTTATTATCTGAGGGGCAAAAAGTCATTACTCAGACAAGCCAAAAGTAATTTTTCATTATAATTAGATATTTTTGATAGCATATTTACTACGGTTGTATTTCTGCAAAGATCAATAAAATATACATTCCCATAGAGTGCAGATGAAAGCATTACAAATTGCTGATTTGTGCAGTGCAGGGATGAGCTCTGGTGCTGCATTTTACATAAAAGTAGGATGACCAACACACCAAGTTTGGCCAGGACTGAGGAGGTTCCTAGCTTGGAAACTTTCCTTTTAAATCTGAAAGTATAGTGCAGAGATAAGTTGGTCACCTTTTACATACATAGTTGACTATATGCTAGTTGGTCGACTGATGAGGTGATAAAGAGAAAAACAAATTAGTGGGGAAAAATTAACTGACAACTTTGAGAATAGCCTGAAAAAAGATAGCTGACTGGACTACAAATTTCCATAGATTTCAGAGCATTTTGTTGTTTATAATTGCCAGTTACTTCTTAAAACACTTTTGGAATGGAAATTAAGTGGAAAACCAGGTTGTTTATTTTTTAATAGTGAGCACAGACAACTTTAAAAATGTCTAACTGCAAAAGTGGGTGGAACTAAACTTACATTCTTCTAGCTACACTATTTGTCATATTTAAAAATTACCTTTTATGTAAACAGCCTAGTTATTTTTCAACAGAACAACTAGTCCTGGAGCTCAAATTCTTTCAAATGAATGAGGATAAAAATAATTTCAAAGTAGAAAAAGCAGACAGACTGGAAAAAATTACTAAAATTAATCAAACTTTAAAGGAATTAAAAAACGGTCACACACACAAAAAAATCATACTGTTGTAAGATTTAAAGTGTTTAACAACATCAGCTATACCAATGGAGGGGTGAGTTAGTGAAATGTACAGATACCTTAAAACATCATGTGATTCATTAGATTTCAACCACATCCTTTCCCAAAAAGTATAGAGTACTAAACAGGATACAAAGTAAAAGGTTGTGACCTTCTCTGGCTTTTTAAGTCTGCCCTCTGGTGGAAGTAAAAGTGAACAGTAAAACAGCCAAATGAGAAGTAGCTGGGGAAAAACAAGATCAGGGAATCACAGCAACAACCAACAGGATACTCCAGGGGTAACTATAATAATTAAAAATGACATTTTACATTTTTACTCCCTGAAAAGTAAATCCAACCATTTCTGACCATTGGCCAGATCTTAACTTTAGTTCAATTTTACCATTTGTTTGACAGCTTGTTAGCTCAAAATTGAGTGAATTTCTTTCAATTCTATGTTATTTGATTTGAACCATTTCTTTCAGATATTTTGCTTACAACTGAATTTTGTTTTAGGGGATAAGGGAGGATGAGAAACAGGGTATGAGAGATGAGCTAGAGAGGCCTACACTAATTCTGGTTAGTTTTCATTAGTTTTCTGTTACTCTTTGTCTTGGAGTCTTTTAAAAATACTAGCATCATTATGAGAATAGCAAAGTGAATTGAAAAGAAACAAGTTCTAGCTCTGCTTCTACCAATATTAAGCTTCCAGTAATAAGACCACAGACAGGCTTATTTAAATTCCTTGGACTATAGTTTTCCTGTATGCAAAGTAAGAGAATTAATTTTATTTACGTTATCTCCTAGTTTTAAAATGGTTTACATAAGAAAATAGCTTATATATTTGACCTTCGGCCGGTGGAAATACATACTTTCTGTACCACCACATACGAAATGTAAATGCAGGTCCCTAAAGTTGAAGGTTAGTATACCTCGTCAGCCCTTGTGCCTCTTCTCATTCCCCAATTCACAGGGTCTTCATGTACACCGAAAATTTCCAAGGAGGTGAAAATATTTTCAGTTAAGTAAAGACTTTGCAAATAAGACTGTGAATCAGAACTATTAGAAAATTTAAACTTCGCTTTCTAACAAATTGGTCATGTCAATTTCTTTCTTATATAATTCTTGCTTCCTAATTTGGCGTCCATTCAATTTTTTTCTTTCAGGCACGAAGATTTAAAGAAATCATTTTTATATGGAAAGAAAATGTATGATATTAATTATCTACTTAGAAATATACCCAAGTAATTCTCCAGGAGATTACACTGATATTTTATTAGGGTTTCTTGACGGTATCTTCCAGGTAAGACTAGTTTCTAGCATCCACTCCACTAGAATGCAATCTGATGATGGTTTGTTTGGATGCCAGATTTTCAAGTGTGGTACTAGCTGGCGACCACACACACAGTGGTTCAAAATGTACCACTAGCTATAGTTGTGGCTTTCCTGGTTTTAAAACAAAGGGAATTACTTACCTACTTCCTAGGAAAAGGAAAAACAATATGTAAAAGATGCTTTAAGAAGCTTTGAGAATCAAGTATAAGGAGTTGGGTAAGAAATACATAAGTTGGTGCTATGTTCTTCTGTAGATTAGGTTACAAAAAACTGATACTGAGGCCACTGATGTAAAAAAGAAAATGTTAAAGAGATTTTTAAGAGGATCAAATGCACCTGAGCTCAATGAGATTCATGACCGGTCTGTTTACCTGCTGCCTCCTCCTGTGGCATTGTGGGAGTTCTTCGGGGCCCCTGTGGCCCACTGTTCTTGTCACTGTTGTTTTCCTCCAGGCTGCCTGCTGGCTCCTGGGTTTTCATCAGTTGACTCAAGAGAACTGCCAACATATTCTGCATGTCAGCTGGTGCGCTTGAAGTTTCAGGGGTTGTCTGTTCTGCTGAAGGATGAACCAGTGGGGCAGGGGGTGCCTCTTTCAAAGACTCTTCTGGAGCTACAGGCTCTGAGTCCTGCTGCTGAGAAGTTGCCTCCGTTAGGGCACTGATAGACTGGTTCAAGGCCTCCAGCTGCTGCTGCATTTCTGGGTTGGAGTGGATGTTAAGCAGCTGTGCCATCTGAGGGATGCTCAGGTCGGTCTGGCTCTGCAGCAGGTTCAGTAACACTGCCAATTCACTTTGATTCAACTGCTGTGTGATATCACCGAGCCCTGGAGAGACAGTGAGCCAATGTAAGAGGATGAGGTAAGGCAAGGATTCCTTTGTTTTCTTCAACTGGCAATAGCAAGTTCTAATAATATATTTCATTCTGAATGTCTTGTTTTTCATGCCTCAGACTACCATGATATGGTTTGTTATTTCTTGTATTTTCACTTAAAAATGTGTGTGTGTGGGCCCCCGCACAGGTTAAAGTGCAGCACTGCAAGCGAGCCAACTGCTTCAGTTTGAGTTTGGTCCCCAGCCCCAGAGATGATCCACATAGCGCAGCAGACTTCTGACCCACTTGCTGCTCCCCTTGGCAGTGTTCTTTGTTGATCTTTCTGTTCTGTTCCCCACACTGTCTCTGGTGAATCCTCTCACCGCCCCTGTACCTCTAGCCTGCACCCCAGTTCTGTATGCATAAATAAATAAATCTTAAAAAAAAAAAAAAAAAAAAAAGGAAGCCACCCGGTAGCCCAAGGGGTTAAAGTGCAGAACTATGAAACATCTGCAGCCACTGTTGCACTAGTTCAATACCCAGTAAGGGAGGTGACCCACATGGCACAGCAGACCTCTCCTGTCTCGCTCGATGCTTCCCTCAGTAGTGCATTTCAGTCACTCAGCCTGTTCTGTTCCTCACTCTGTCTCTGGTGAATCCTCTCACCTCCCACACATCTGGCCTATAACCCAAGTTCTTATATGCATAAATAAATAAATAAATTCTTTAAAAAATGCAACACAACATACACACAAATAAATAAAATTAACGTATCTATACTGAGTAAAAGGGATTTCATTTTATCTATATTCTTCAAGGTCAATGATATTCTTGTGGGTTTTTTTTTTTTTAAGATTTATTTATTTGTGCATACAGAACTGGGGTACAGGCCAGAGGCTCAGGGGTGGTGAGAGGCTCCACCAGAGACAGAGTGGGGAGCAGAACAGGCAGATCAACGAAGTACACTTCCGAGGGAGGGGAGCAGTGGGCGGATCAGGAGAGGTCTGCCACGCCATGACCTGCACCTCTGGGGCAGGCGGGAATCAAACTCATGCAGAAGTGGCTTAAGCTTCTTTGTGCTGTGCTTTAACCCGCTGCGCCACCAGGGAGGGCCGTGTGTGTGTTTTTTTAAGATTTTTATTTATTTATGCATACAGAACTAGGGTAGAGGTCAGAGGTGCAGGGACAGTGAAAGGACTCACCAGAGTCAGAGTAAAGAGCAGAACAGGCAGATTGACAAAGTACACTGCTGAGGGGAGCAGTGGGCAAGACAGGAAAGGCCTGCCATGCCATGTAGGTCACCTCCCTGGCCAAGGATTGAATTTGTGCTGAAATGGCTGCGACTAGCTTTGTATTGCTATGCTTTGACCTGTTGCATCACCAGGGAAGGCCCAGGTCAGTGATTTTCAATCCTTACCCTTAACTACATATCAGAAATACTGGGAAAGATTTTAAAATTCAAAGGTCTCAGGTCCCATCCCTACAGATCTGGCAGTTTTTCAGGCTTTTTAAAAAGAGATTTATTTAGGCATACAATGTAGGAGGGTGACAGGAACCACCAGAGAGTGGGGAGCAGATAGGCAGATCTACTGAAATACACTACGAAGGGGAGCAGTGAGGGAAACAGGAGAGGTCTGTTGTGCCATGTGGGTTAGTTCTGTGGTGGGAGATCAAACTCATGCCTCAAGGGATGGCAACAGCTTGATAGCAATGGAACTTAGTCCCTGCACCACCAGGGACCCTGTTTATTTTTAAAGCTTCCTAGTTGGGGCCCTCCCTGGTGGCATAGCGGGTTGGAGTGATGCACTGCAAAGCACAGCCGAGCTGTGTCCGCTTCAGTGTGAGGTCTATCCCCGCCCTAGAGGTGATCCAGGGCATAGCAGACCTCTTCTGTCTCTCCTGCTGCTCCTCTAAGCAGTGTGCTTTATAGATCTGATTGTTCTGCTCCCCACTCTGTCTCTGGTGAACCCTCTCACTGCCCCTGCACCTCTGGCCTGTACTCCATTTCTGTATGCCTAATAAATAAAATCTTAAAAAACAAAAACAAAAAACTTACTGGTCAGTTCTAATATGTAGCCAACATATAGCATCACTATTCTAAGTGGATAAGGAAGGGAAAGAGAACCAAGGAAATCTGCAGTTCAGAGAATTTGGTGCTACCAAGAATTACTGCCATACTAGTTTGTTAATAGTTTTGGATATGTTTAATCAAATTATAGTACAGGGAACTAACACATTTATTACAATTAACATGATTACAGGCTCAGGGTTTTTTTTTTTAAGATTTTATTTAAATACAGAAGAACTGGGGTGTAGGCAAGAGGTGTGTGTGGGGGGAAGTAGGGGTGAGCAGATTCATCAGAGACAGAGTGGGAAGCAGAAAAGGTGTATCTACTGAAATATACAGATAAGGGAAGTAGCGTGGGAGACAAGAGAGGTTCACTGAGCCCTACATGGGTTACTCCCTGGCTGGGATCAAACTCAAGCCATAACAGTGATAGCACTGAGGCTTAACTCTTATGCCACCAGGGAGGGCCCAAGATTCACAGATTTTAATAAATCTACCATAAATAGGGCTCCAAGTTCTATGTTAAGAAACACGGGCAAACTAACCTTAAATTAATTTGGCTTACTGAGCATCCCTGGTAGCTCAGGGGCTATAGGAAACACTCAAGCTATTGCCAGCCAACATAGCACAAGTTCCATCCCCGGCTAGCCAGGTAGCTAACTCATATGGTGCAGCAGACCTCTTCTGTCTCACCCACTGCTCTGCTCAGCAGTACATTTCAGATATCTGCCTTTTCTGCTCCCCACCCTGTCTTTGGTAAATCCTCTTACCCCTGTCCCAGCACCTCTGGGCTGTACCCCAGTTCTTATATGCATAAGTAAATCTTTAAAAAATTAAATTTGCTTACTTAATTCAATGATTTATGCCATATATCTAGTGGCTATATAGTCTTTATTTCAGGAAGGAAAATAATCCACTGTGTACTTTCTAGAACACAAGTATACCTGTTGGTTTATCTCCTCTCCCCATAGGATACCAACTTGTTTACTTTGCTTCAGTGAATGAATATACACTAAGT